ATACGTAAAAGAAGGCTCAGACCATGTATTTATTACCTAATTTTTCATTTTATTGGTTAAACACACGATATAAAATAATATAACTAAAGTAATAGATATGTTTATGAGTTATATTATAAATGTGCTCTAGTTTATTTTTAGCTATGTATCCAATAATATATTTATGTTAACAATCAAGTGTCTTACTTTGTTCAATGAATAAATCTTTATATTTGTCCGACAATTCAAAATCGTTGGCTATGTTTTGAGCTTCTTCAAAAATTGTACTGCATCTATGCAGTATTATTTCTTTTAACATGTTATCTCGATAATTCATATTTTTACATTTCATCTAACGAAAACAATGAAATAAGTTGATATCGCATGTTAATGTTTTTGCGGACTTTACGTCAGTTTTATTGTTTTATATAAATTAGAGATAACCAAATAAAATATGTGTATTGTATAATATACACTCACTTTCTTTAAAAGGTGAATGTACAATACTTGATGTGTAAGTGCATATCTAAAAAATTGTTTCTGAAATTCTGGTTGAAAGCATTCATATGTTACATTGCATGAAAAAATCACTTGACCAATGCATTTATCCGAAATATTGCGAAAATATGCATCACCATTGGCTAAAATATCCTTATCGTACCATATTTTAGCAGGTAATGTAATATTTGATTTGTGTATTAATGTTTGCGGAGATATCCAAAGTTTGTGATCGAGAATTTTTTTTGCTAAAAAACAATTTTAAGACCAGTTTACAAATTGATACTTACACTATATGTATAGTTAAGCAAATTCACAAGATCAGTTTGGCAGAAATTAAATTAAATAACTACCCGATAGTATACCAATGAACTAATAGCTATATACATACCTGTAATTATCTAAAAGATAAATTATTCTAAAAAAAAACAAATATATATTTGACTTACTAATTGAATTCAATACATTGTTTCTATAAAACTTTGAGTAAAGATTTTTTATCATTTTATTCAGTTTGTACATCTTATAAGAATCAGTATTATAGTTCATTCGAGGATTGTCAGTACACGACATAAATTGACCTGTAGATTTAAAAGCACAAGAAATTTACACAAATTAAATATTTGAAATAACCATAAATTATCAATTAATTTGAACATAGATGGTACACAATATACATGTTAGAAATATAAATATGTAAATAATATAAAAATAAAAAGCGAATTAAAAAAAAAAAGTTAATATAAAAACGTGTGGAAGAGAACATCGTCCATCGACACTACTTCCAGTATAGGTAGGTACTGTTTTTTTACACAACACTCTGTACATTTATAAATGACAATAATATATTATAGGTACTATGCATTGGTCACGATTTTCTTGTTAAATTATACATCAAACGAAAACAAAATAAATATATTACCTTTCATTATGGATACCCCGAGCATTAAATTTAAATCCACATCATCATCGTCAACGTCCGGTCTTATATAATACTCTATCGACGATTCGATTAAATCCAAAATTCTATTTTCTAGGTCTCGGACAGTACTCGTTTCGTCATCAACAACAAATAACGGCAACACTTTGCAGCTTGCAAGCAATGCTCTGCTAAGTAATGCTAAGAAAAAAGCGTATCCCTGAGGTGACATCGTCGTCGCGCAAAGATAAAATGTTTGGAAATGAGAATTGTAGTCGTAACTGTTGTGGTTTGTGTGGTAGGTAATTTTATTCTCGAGGAAAAAAGGTTTGATTGTGACGAATTGTTATACACGTCCGGCAATATTGGACGGTGTTTGGTGTTTTGTAGCTGTGACGTTGTCTATATATATTATTATTATACTTGTCACGGGTTTAATTTTTTTTCAATTCTCCAAACCTAACTTGTCGCCGAAGGGACGGGATAAGCTTGTTGTTTTGAATGATGTAATTCCTTTTTTTAATTTAAATAAAATATTCACGCAAAACATTGTACAAATATTTGTTTTAATACGAAGCTATATAATGTATTTACATCGCAATATATACAATAAAATATAAGGAAAAATATTATTCAACTATTTAATCTAGTTTTAAAACCCGCCGGGACTGTCGGGCAAAAACCGGTGAAAAAAATATGATTTATGAAAAAAAAAAATTACATTGGGTATTTTTTAATTTCGTTGAAAAAATGTTAAGCCACTACAACTCGAGAACCAATATGAATTCTTATAAAACAAATTAAGGAGGCTTCGAGATCAAGCATCATCTCCCGTTCGCGACTTAATAGCAATCGGTGTAAAGTATGATTCATTTGTATCTAACTCATATTATATACTTCAAATTTAATAGTTCTTCCGTCTTATTGTAAAAAATCTAATATCATAACTAACTGCGTGGGAGCTCAATATTATATATATATAAGCAGTACATCTAACTAATAATTTATATAATTATTTACTTTAGTTAATTTCGTGAATTGTGACACATTGTATAGTATGATGTAAATAATATAAAATAATATCAATTTAAAAATTAATTTTATTTAAATTTTTTTAACTACATAGCTTTATTAAAACTTGTATACACATATTCATAGTCTAAATGGTACTGCCAAAGGTAAATAAAAATGTAATAAGTTAATAATAATGAAACATCAAACAAGGAATGAAGAATTATAAATTGAAGTGCAATGAATAGTTAATAAATGTTTTCGTGAATGTGAGATGATGTTATATGTAATAATCTTAATTTATTATAATGTTATGTTTTTATAAAATCTTTATTATTGAATTTAATAATATAAATTATAATTAGCTTATTAATATCGTTAACTCATAGCACAAATTTATCAGTCAATTATCACTAGGGAGTAGGGACCGGATTTATATGCAAATGCATGTATGTATTGAAATAAACTTTTTGAAATCTGATGAAAATTGATCACTCTTATTAAAATAACACTAATTTTATTTTGCATATTTTGCATATTTCAACGTTTTTACCTATTAAATGCATATTAAATGCATATATTTTGTAGTTTTAAAGTGTATATTATTATTTATAACACATATATTCGTTTTTCATCGTATTTTCACGTTATCATGCAGCCACATAATATCAATAAAATTGACACCGGTCGTTATTTCCAAAGAGTCTATGTGAAAACCGCGAAAAATAAATCGCGAAAATAAAACAGCGAAAACACTAATAGCGAAAAGTAAAAAAACCTATACGTATATACTTACAGATAATCGGAGGAATTTAACGTTTGAACACATTAAGGAACTTCTGATCATCCAATGCAATAAGGTAAAATATGAATTCAATTTTTGTTTCAGTTTTTATTAATGTGAGTTAATACTTTATAGATTGAACATGCAGAATGTTAAATGGCAACGAAGACTTTAAAAGCTTTTTTATACTTTTTTAATTACCATATTAATTAATAAATATTGTTACATAATTTTACATAATACATAATTTTACATAATACATATTTTTACATAGGTTTAAACAAAATTTTAAATGCATATTTAAAAATAAATACATATTTCATAACATATTACAGCCAGTGGTGTATTTACGGGGGGGGGGGGGGGGTCCCGGGTCTCGACTCCCCCGCAGAAAAAAATAATATTAATTTATATTATGTGTTTTTAATGTTTGTATTGCAATATTTTTAAAAATAACTTGGGTTTAACTACGTATTAATTGACATTTATTTTCATAATAATAGTAAAATATAATATAATATAAATAATATCATTATTAAATCATAACTCGTATGTATTTTATTATAATGTTATAAACTTATATTTAATATTAAGACCCCCCCCCCCACAAAAAAATTGAAAATACGCCACTGATACAGCATTATTAGAAGCATATTTTGAGCATTTTTTGTGAATATAAATCCGGACCCTAATTATCACTAAATAATATGTGGGAGAGTTAATACGAAAGTCTCTCAGGATTAAATATACCTAGTTAAAAGTGTATATAATATATGTATAGTACGTTTATGTCTTACTTTTTATAAAACACGCATCGAAGAAAATGACTATTTTCATAGTCTTCTTATGATTTTTCTACAATGATATCACAGATATTACATGTGAATCAGTCAATCACCCTGTCACTAAACATATTTTATGATATTATATTTTGTGATGTTGCTATTAAAGTATTGTTTGATGTTTCGATCATTTCTCGACTCAATGGTATAGTGTTGACAAAGGTACTATATTCTAGTGAAGAAAATATAATTAGTTTTTGTATCAGTTTAAGGAATTACGAGTTTGCTCCCTATGAGCCATGAAGTATGAGCCAATGACTTAAGAATATTTGTTTTTATCATAGATACTGTACGGAGTTCTTTTAAATGTGTACATTTGGTGTTGTTATATTTCCCAAGATTTTAAAAGTTTTTGCGATTGGTATTGAAAGATTATTTATTTTTATATAGGGGTATATAACATAGTGTCTAATACTTTGTTAGTCGGTTAATAATGATACTCTATAATTTTGAAGTATAGAAACCATACCTGGAAATATCTGACTATTTAGAACGTATGTTAAAATCATCCAAAAATAGTGAAGATTTTATGGGGAATTCAATTATTTTATATTACTTGGCGTATTATTATCTATAAACTTGGTGCACCGTAGTGGTTGTATACAGGCGCGTACTGGGTCTATTTTCCCTACCGGGAAACTGGATATAATTAGGGCCCACTTAATATATACAATATACTTACTAATAAAAATGGGTTCCATGTATACTTCTAGGATATAACAATAGCCATTTTTTACACTAAGAAAAAACTATACAATTAGAATGAACCTAAATAATAAACCAATTCTACATTTTAATTTAAGTTCTATCAAAATAAATAAATACACAATAATAGTAACATAATTGTTTTTATTTAAGTTATCTTGATTACGTAGTATAAATTATAAAATATGAATAGTGTGTTATTAAAAATGGTTCAATACAGAGGAAATAATGTATAAATAGTTCAATATAAAATGTTTAAAAACTAAACTTTCAACATTCTTAACATTTCTGTACTTTTTTCACACATTAAGTCGATGACTTGATCCGGTGTAATGTCTGCCAACAATTCCCTTTCACAGTTCATCAAAAACAATGATTCTAAATTCTCCTGTGTTAAACAACTTCTTAAACGAGTTTTTATAATTTTAAGTTTCGAAAACGATCGTTCACACGTTACTTGAGTAAGAGGAATCGTTAAAAGAAACTTGTATACTTCAAATAATTCATTATACTCTAAAGAATACATATTGAATTCATAAATTACATTTGTTACGCATAATAAACATGAGTTACATTTTTTTTTTCTTGTACACATATTATTATCATTTTCCCGAGAGTATTCAAAATCTTCAAAGTCTGAATCTTCTTGCAAATTGCTTTGGTTTTGATACACATCATATACATCTTTAATATCAGTTTTGGATATTTGAGGCCAGAATTTTACGAACGATGATAATTGTTCTCCTAATTTATGTTTATCGATATGAGGTAAAAGTTCACAAATTTTATGAAGAGCTTCAGAGTGAATTCCATTTTTCGCAATTTCTTCAAACCTTCTTGGATCGAATAGTTCAAGATCACAATACAGTTCTTTACTGCCCGAAAATCTACATTCTAAGCAAGCAATAATATTATCCATAACTACGTTAAATGTTTTGATTTTATAAACATTTTCGGGAGTATCTCCATCTCTTATGTTTTGATTAGTACTTGAATTTTCTCCAGAACGTTTTGGAATAGTTTTTCTTCTCTTTTCAGGAAGCTCTAATTCTATATCAATGTCTGACTCATCTTCCCAAATTATACTGGATACAAATTCAATGAATATTTTTGCTCCTGTACTGACTGGTAAAAATTCTCTTTGGTTTTCTTTTAAAGACTTTATTGTTCCATCAATTTTTTCTCCATGCTTGAATATAATCTAGACCAGATGTTTGTAGGTAATTAGATAGAGCAGTGGTAAACTTAAATATTTGCAAAAACATCATTGCTGTTAATACTGTTTCATAACGGGTAAGTCGACCTAGTAAACTTTGAGCTGTACTTCTTACGCTGTTTGAAAAATCATTAGTAACAGAAATTTCATAAAGTGCAAATACAATTTGCACATATACAAATTGCTTTCTATCATCATTCTTGGTTCTTTCATTCCACATATCGATACGACCAAATATCTTAATAACCGCATCATTTTTAGATCGCCATCGAGTTTTACCAATATTAATTAAATGAGACGGACGACTGGGATTATTCTGATTTTCATAAACATTGAGTCTTTTATAAGATTCTTTGAAAAAAACAAATAACTCTTGAAGTAGTCCAAAAAAAGAAATAACTGTAACTGAACAAGAAGTAGTTTGTTGTAAGACTAGATTTAACACATGAGCGTAGCACCATGTATGAATATGTCTTGGGAACACTTCCTTGAGTTTTGCTTGAACTCCTGAATATTGACCATTCATATTGGCAGCACCATCAAAAGCATCTGCTACACAATTATCTAAGCTAATGTTCATAGAATTTAAAGTTGATTTTAATAAATTAAATAAACCCTGCCCTGACGATGAAATCACATTTTTTAAAGCTACAACTCGTTCCACAACTTCAATTATAGACCTGGTGCCTTCAGTTCTGTCACTAATATACCGCAAAACAAATACACATTGATCATGGGTAGATATATCCATAGTTGAATCCATAGTAATTGAATAAATACCAGCTGAATTTACTTCTTCTGATATTTTTAATAATAATAATTTACAAATAGTTTGAATAATGTTTGTTACAGTTGTAGGACTTAAAAAAGTAAACAAATTTCCTCTACCCGTTTTCCCACTTTTAGCTCGTTTTTCACTTTCTACTATCGCCTTAGTAATGTGATCATTTAAATCAATATTAGACTTGGCTATTAATAAAACAATTTCCAAAAAGTTTCCATGGTTAACTGCTGTATTATTTAAATTATAAGCTGCCTCATACCTAAATCCTCTAAACGGCAATCCTTGTTTTCCGATTACTTTAACTATTTCAATTATAGATTCAGCTACTTTTCTTCTTTTGATTACTTCGTGCTCTCTTTGACTCCACTGTACTCTGTTAAATAATCCGTCTACACTTTGTCCCCGATTATCACTCATATAACATTTTGATGCTTCTCTGTGGTTTTTTGACTCTTCGTGATCTTTTATGCGTTCATACACATGAACCCAGTCTTCAAAACCCTCAACACTTGTAAAAACCGACTTTTTAGATGAATAAACCAAACATATAGAACAAAAAAAAGAATTATGTTCGTAACTAAAAGTTAACCAATTTCTTTTAATTTTTTTCTGCGACCCTGGAATTGCTACATAATATGCTTTTGAAGTATTAAATGGTAATTGGGTGCCATCATGTTTTTTTTCTGGATGGTGTGGATGAAATGAAAAAAATCTTTGAATGTTTTGTTTTCCACTAGGCTTTATAAAATAGTTAAAATTAATTTTATCGACAATATCAATGTGTGGCAGATCAGAATGAATTTGTATATCAGTTGAAATAGATGTAGAAGTTGAAGAAAAAGAATGTGAATCAATATTGGATGTTATATTATGAACTTGTGATTTTAGGGGCGAATTGGGTACACATTTTTCAGAAATACATTCAATTTCATTTGACGCGGGATTAATTTGTTGTTCAGTGAAATTCTGACTTAAAACTGTTGGTGGAAAATAATTTTTCAGTTTTTTGGATTTAGAAGCAATCTCATTAAGCCGTTTTTTGTTATACTCTTTTCGTTTAAGCGAGCCACTTTTATGATTTTTTTTCTTTTGGTCATTCGGTTCCATTATAAACTACAAAATACATATTATAATTTAAAATTATGTAAAAATGATTTAAATGATTTAAATGTTTAGTAAAAAAAAAAAATATATAATAGTCAATAGAATACGATTGTAATTTGTTTAACAATATTCTGGTTCATTAGTGATAATAATATATTAATATGATATTTCGATCTGATTGAATGGAATAATTAAAATAAAAGAAAATGTAGTTATTTTTGAGTATTCATATGGATTAGTTAAGTTTAAGATAACTAGTCCTCCTTGGTTTTATATGAAAATTAAATTCGATATGGGTTTATTTATAAGTAAATAATATTAGCTGCACGCACTCAATTGTGGCTTAATAAATATTAAACAACGGCATAAATGCCAATTATTGTGCATACTATCTAGCCGACGACGAGCATCTTATTAGGTATATTATTAATTATTATTTATTATGATCAATGCTGAATAAATAGATAATATAGGTACTAACAGCAAATTATAGTTTTTAATTAATTATTATAAATTAAACATAAACAAATTTAAAATATCATAATTAATAAAAATACCTATGAAACACGAAAAGTACTGGTATGTAGGTACTATACGTGTAATAATAATAATTGAAGTTTTAATAGTTATATTTTTTTAGTTATACTTTTTCCACTCATATCGATATCTCATATTCCAATAATATGCTACTTTTACATTGACTTTTCCGTGTACTAATTTCAAAGTTCTGTCTTAATATTATTATTTTATTGTATATAAGTATAAAATTATAAAACATTAATTAGGTTCAACACACCAAATCTAAAATAATTTTAACATTATAAACTATTTTCAATTTATTCTAATTATTATTTTAATAGTTTGTATTACTAAAGAAATGTTATTATTCTATAAATTATTAAAAAAAATCAGAAACTTACCTGTTTGGGATGTATTGAATGCAATCAGTAAAAAATGTTGAAATTGTAGAAAAAACAAGCAGCAAATAAACTCGACTAAGAATTTCAAATGAATGAAATCAACTACGTATAATAATACTAGGTTAATAATAATATTATCGTTGATAATATTATTGTTAATCCAATCAATTTATAAATAACTTTATTATCAGCAGAAACAGACGGAGTATACCGTTTACCCGTATATGTCGCGGCCATTTTGTCTTGTCTAGTGTTCACTGGAATTCTAAATAAACATTATTTGTTGTTCGACGAATATTATTAGTAATAGTATAATATAATCAAAACTAGTACAGTAGTACATACACCATTATCAGTAACTAGCCACCGAAACTCGTTATTTGTCCCTTATGTAATTTTCTCTTTTCAATCATTTAATTAAAATAATTTTAAAACAATTATTATTTATTATTAAAAATAATAAAATTACTGAATTTGAATGAAACTAGAGTACCTATTTGGTAGGGGGCCCAGTTCTTATAATTTTTAAGAGGGCCTACCGGGATTTTCCCGGTACCCCGGTGGGCCAGTACGCGCCTGGTTGTATAGGTACTGCGTATCTACCGTTAACTTTGCAAACAAATCGCTAAGTAAACCCTATGGTGTTTATTTGTGATACTTTAGAGAAAAACCACAATCTACATGAACTAACTTACACACTCGAGCTTACTTACGAAGGAGAGTAACTTCACTGTGAAAGTGTGTAAACCCTAGGCCCATACAACCGTCACTCGTTTGTAATTATCATCGGTAGTAGTGATAATCAAAATTGGTCTTGGTCTTACGGTCTCGCAAGTCTCTTGCGGCAAGACCAAGACCAAGATTAGGCTTGCAAGAACAAAATCAAAACAAGACTATCACTGCAAGACTCTTGCAGTCTTGCAAATTTTTTTTTTCCCCGAAAACACATTAGTGTATCTAGATTTCATTAACTAATATATTATAACTAGAATAATAAGAAATTATTTTTATTGTTATTAAATTTGATCAGTATTCGAAAAAATGGCCAATTGTTGAAAAAAAGATTAGAAATAATTGGAATTAATATTACAAAATAACATTGTTGTTTCATACTAATTAGTAATTAGCAATTATTACTAAAAAATTAATTAATTTTTCCAAAATCGATAAAGACATCGAATTTTCGAAAGTTGTCTTGCTAATAGAACTCTACTTTGAATCGAATATACTAATAATAATTAAAAAAAAACTTTTTGTAAAAATAAAATGTACCTAATAAGATTTACACAAATGGTCTATAGCCAATATACTGTATTAAAAGAAACTTAAACATTTAGAACTACTGTACTGGACACTGGTGAATAAAAGAACAATAACAGTTTAATTATAAATAATAAATATTATCATTATAACAAATATAAATATATAATTATTAAGAAATTTGATATTTGGAACAAACCATACAGTTTTTTTTTAATATTATTATTTGTTAAAGTCGAAACACTCGCAGTCTCAAATTTGTTGGTGACTATTATGTAACTTATCAGTTATCACTAAGGCTAAGGACTTAAAGAAGTTTCCATGTTTTTCAACAATTATTCAAAACATATCTAAGTACTAAGTAACAGTGGCGTATTTTGAATGTTTTTTTTTTTTTTTTTTGGGGGGGGGGGGGGGGTGTCCAGATAATTTAAGTATAAACTTTTTGTTAATTGGTCGCAATATATCTCTGTTTTAAATCTACTACCACTAAGCTCATAATATACTCATCAAATATTGTAATGAAATATTTTTTATTTATTTAATTAAAAGTAGAAATTTTTATGTAATTTAAATCATACAGATATAAAATACCTACTGTAAACATAATTTTAATTAAAAAATAAAAGCAAATAATAATATGTTTTAAAATAAATGTCCTTAGAATATAAGACAAATTTGTTATAATATAGGTACAGTTATTTTCTTGGTTAATAGTTTAATACATATTACCGCGAAGATAATAATATTATGATATACCATATACCATTATGTAATGATATTTTCAACGCCTTACAATATTTAATTCTGTAAAAAAGTTTTCCGAGGAGAAGACTTTTTTAAGAACTATGTGTTTTGGAAAGAACAAATCCTTCCCAATCAATATTAATCCAAAAAACTGTATTCCAGAGTACAGACCAAACTTTTCAAAATAATATTTAGTGGAACAAAAAGTTAGGCGATCCAGTTCAATACCGTTGTTGGCTTATCACCAGTCTTCCCCGTCTATGATGGTTAGGTACTTATACAGTTGTACCATAGTGACATAGTACCACAGAATTATTCTGTGATAGTACTATAGTACCACACGTTTACACTCTTCACTACACATAACTACATAGCACGTGCTAATTCTTTACTACTTCGATTCGATAAAGAATTAAATTTATTATTTAAAATTTGGTCATTAATTTTTTTTATTTAGGCGGCGAAACGTATCGTGAGTATGCTATTTTTTATCTTAAATGATGTCTATTTTAATTTAAATTTTTGTATTGTAGATCATGGTTGTATTCACTTGTAATAATTGTGGCGATTCAGTAAATAAGCCTAAAGTGGATAAACACATACAGTATGAATGCAAACGTAAGAATTTTGCAGTTAGCTTCTGTTGCGTTGACTGTTTAAAGGATTTTAAGTAAGTAGAATTTTTTATATCGTAAAAACATCTTCAACAAATTGTAATATACCTGTCGCGAGTAATGTTTACTTTTGGATAATGACTTTATAACTATAAAAATATATTATAAATGAGGTGAAACCATTTTAAATTATCAAAAATATTTAATTTATTTAAGACACAATATTAATAATATAATAAAATACAATTATCATCATTAAACAATAAGAGTTTATTTTTAATAAGTTGCCTTCTATTACAAACATTAAATTGAATATTTTATTTTATATTTTAAATTATTTCTTGGAATATTATTTTAAGTTTAGAGTCAAAGTGTTATGCTTTATTATTACATGACGTGCTTCTATGACATTTTGAATTGCACAAAATGCTAGATGGTTTACACTTACATCAATTGGTGTCACATTTTTCCTTACATGAATACCTTTTGTATCTATGATCACTACCATCTAACATTTGACTAGCAATTTCCCTTAATGATTTTTCTAGACGTATATGTCTTATCTTACAATATTCATAATTTAAAATTTATTGCCACTTTTCAATTCATTAATTGTATTCAAATATTTTTCACTCTCCCTAATAACCCTTCCCATCAACTAAAACACAATTGGCCTTGTGATTTACTTCGCTAAGTAAATAAATAAATAAAAAAAAAAAAAAATAGTTTGAAATAGAGTTGATAGATTCAAGCCTTCAAACCTTGTACAAAAAAATTATAAAATTTACTTATTGTTTTATTATATTACAGATTTTAAATACATATTTATTTAATATTAAAAAAAAAAAAAAAAAGTATTTTTCATTTGATAAATAAGATGAATTATAGTTAGAATATGAGTAGATAAGATGCATTTTTATACTCTGAAATTCGATGCTTTATTATTGTGATAGTATACAAAAACTCTTACTCTTTTAACATTATCCAGGTAATGTTGATATTAAACAACTAATGTCAATATTATACAAATGTTAAAATTATCTGTAAAATTTATAATTCTTGAAATACATTTTTATGATTTTGTTTGTAAATTATGTTTATATTAAATTCATAAAACATATGATTTTTCTATTGGATTTAATTGGTTTTAATTAACCAATATTATGGTCTTCGGATGAAATCTGTTGACATTTCAAGGGATGTGCTAAATCAACTAAAAGATAACTGTTGACTTAAATCGATTAAAATATAAATTATGAATTATTTAAATTTCTGCTAATTTTTTGTTTTTTTTTTTTTAATTTGTTTAAAGTTGGTAGTTGTAAAGATATAATATAAAAAATATTTTTAAATTTCTAAATTTGTTGAATTTAAAAGTAAATTTTTATTAACTTATGTCTACACAACATTTTTTTGTTTATAGTATTTTATATTTATATTGTATTTCAGTTATGAGACTGTAAGAGATCATTGTCAGTGTATAACTGAAGACGAGAGATATTCTGCAAAAGGCTATGTACCTAAACCGTCAGCTGAAAAAGGAAAACGTAAACAAGCTGGTTGGGTCGATATTGTTCAATCAGTATTGAATAATAAAAATTTGCCTAATGAGCAAAGACAATTTTTGAATGTTATAGCCAAGTTTGATAATGTCCCAAGAAAAAAAAATAAATTCCAGGTATTTATATTATATTGTTTTAGAAGATTAAAATATTGTATCTACTTTTTTAGTTAAAGTGATAAAAAGTCAAGTATTGTAATTTTTTTTAGTAGTACTTTATCATTTATGAATTTATAATTTTATAAACTAAGTAAATAACTAAAAAATTAAAAAAATAACTAATGTAAACTAAAATAGAAGAATTATGTTTATTTGTTTGTTATTTCGTAATATTTAATTCGTTTTAATACCTTTATAAAATATATCAGTAGAAAAAATTAATATTAGAATGTGAAATATTACATTTTCTAATTATTTATTTATTTGGTACCTTCATAGTATGTACTAATATTTTTTAATATGTGTTTAAATTTTATAAAGTTATAGGTTATAAATAAGTTAAAATAGTTTTATAATAAATAAATAATACATTTAATCATATTTCATATTTCTATTACTTATTCTAGGTATCAAAGTTATTTAGTAAATGTATTAAATTATATAAGTTTATATTATTTACCAATTAATATAATCAAATACATTAAAAAAAAAAGCTCTTAAAATTGTTTTATGCATTTCTATGATTTTTATGCAATTTTATAGTTTTTATAGGTACTTTGTGATATAATTAAATATTAATCATACTACAAATTGATAAACGATTTCAAATAAAGTTAACCAATTTTATTTTACTATAAAAATTATACATATTTTTAAAGCTATTATTTAGTCCATAGCATTATGTTAGACAAATAAAGATTCATAAGTTCTTACAATTTTTTTAGTTACATTTTCTTCCTATATTTTCTAATGTTTGTAAGTACCCAAACATTTATTGAAACAAAAAAGATTAAAAAAATTCATAATGCATGCATATTTTGTATAATAAATATGATTCAAAATGTTTTATTTTGATGTATAGCTAATATGATTTGTTCACGAATGAGCATGTCAAGTAATTCCTAAATTTATATACAATTTTATCATAAATTTAGTTTTTTTTTTATAGATTTTAGATCAATTTACTTTAATTTATTGTATTACACTAACTTTTATTGTTTGTTTGTTTTAGAACTTTTGTTTTTCTACAGCCCCTGCTTATAGAAATAAAGGATATTTAGTAGACCAAGTGTTTGATGTGATAGAAGCTGAGTATAAAGCACAACTACCTCAGAATTCAAATGAAAAACCAGTTGATAATACAACAAAGGATATAGAAAAGAATGATTCAACTCAAAAAGAATCTCAAGAAATTAAAAAAAAAATGAACATTGAAAATGACAAAATAGTTACAAGTTTAAATGGTAGTAATGAAACAGAAGAACCACCAAAGAAGAAGAAGAAAAAAAATAAACAATCTCTTGATACAGAAAATTATGAAACTGAAACAAAATTAAAAGAAAATGTTGAACCACTAACACAAAACAAAAAAAACTCATTTCAAAATAATTCTGTTGCTGAAAAAAAATCGGATGTAAAAGATACAAATATAACTGAAACTAAGTCTAGCCCAACTAAAAAGCCTAAAAAAAATAAAAAAAATGATTCAATTCAAGAGGTACAAGAAATTAAGGATAACAAGATTATTAATAGTGAAACTATTGAACAATTAAATGGTAATTGTAAAAGTGAAGAAACACCAAAAAAGAAAAAAAAAAGTAAAAAATCTCTTGATGCAGTAAATTATGAAACTGAAATAATAGCAGAAAAAAATGTTGAACCACAATTAGCAGAAGCTCAGCCAAGTTCTTCTAAAAAATCTAAGAAAAATAAAAATAAATCAGAAATAGAATTAAATAATGATCCAACTCATAGTATTGTTTCTAAAACTAATGAGATATGTGAAAATAATGTAGAAAATGGAATTCTTCAAGAAAAATCAGAAATACAAATGAGTAAAAAGGAGAAAAAAGAAATGAAAAAGAAAATTAAATACCAACAAGAATTAGCTACTGTTTCCAATGGCATTGTAGAATCAAATAAAGAACCAGTATTAAAAAAGAAAAAGAGGAAGTTAAATGACAATGAAGAAACTGAAGAACCACAACAAAAAATTTTAAAAACTGGTAATGTTAATTTATTTTCTATATCATATCTGAAGTTATAATTTTATTTTATATTTAATTAACATATTTGTTTTTTATTATACTTTTAATAGATATCTCCCAAGTTCCCGAAGTACAGTCTGGCCGTAAATTTGATTGGAATGAAGCTATAAATCAAGTATTGCAAACTAAAAAAAATAAACCAATGTCATTAAGTAAAGTAATGAAAAGAGTTATGTGTGAATTTCATTCTTTGAACCAAACTAATAAGTCTGAAAATGATCTAGAGAAGATATTTTTGAAAAAAATAAGGAAAATGAAAAATGTCACGATTGAAAATGATAAAGTACTATTAGTAGGATGTTAATTTAATATTTTGATAATTTTGTATTGTACATTTCACTGGTACTATAATTTAAGACTATTAATAAATAACAATATAATACCATCAAGTATTTGTTTTTAATGTTTATAATTATAATTAATACAATATTATTTTTATATTTTGAGATTCTGAGTTATTAATGCATTAACTATACAATGATGAGTACAAAATATCATAAATTAATGCACTTAGTACTTTTAACAATAATCAGGAAACATAAAATTGTAATTTAGCAAAATTCAAAAACAAATAACTGTAACTACAAAATTTTTATAAAAATATTAGAATTTTCCACAGATATTTGTTAGATATTTTGACTAATTGAGTTATTTATAGACATTTGAAAATTTAAAAAAAATTTATATCAATAGGTATAAAGTTAGAAAATTTATGTTCTTAATAAGTTTTTCTAGTTATTTATTTACATTTAAGATATTTAAACACAATTTTTTCAATAAGTATTTGAAGTTTAGAACTAGTCTAAATCACAAACTTGCAATTTATTTGTAGCTTAAAAAATTAATACAAAATTCTTCATTATTATTTAATTTATTGATACCAAATAAAATATTTATTTGCAATTTTTTCATCACCTGTAAAATAAATTACTTTATAGCAATATAAATTTATAATAAAATTTACTTAGTAACAAATCTTCACTTAAAATTATTTTTCAATTGTTATGACAAATTAATTAATTCAAATTTAATACATATATTATAGTGTTTTTTACTCAATTTATTCTTGTACAGTTGAAAGGTAATTTAACCTACTTCCTCTTTTTAGGTTTAAGTTTTTGTGATTAACTTAAATAATATGTTATAACTTATAAATAAATGAGTTATAATTTATTAACAAATCATACTTGAAACATTTTATTATAAAATACTAAAAATAGAAACCTCTTTAAATAAAACTCGATTATAAATTATAACTTATATATTAAGTTTCTTCATTATTATTAACTGCTTATTTCACTTTTTTTTAAAAATAACTTAATTATTTATTATATGATTCATATTTGATTTAATTAAGATTTAAAATTGAAAAATATCTCTGATATTGTTTTTTTGTTTGGTATTTGGTGTCAATATATGATTATTCAAAATCTTGTTTATTCCTATTAAAAATAATTTAAAAGTAAAAGATAAATAATTGTACACCTTAATAAATTCAAAATAAAACAGTTTCTTTATTTCTAATGTCTGAGGTATGGCTGCATGGGGTTATTAATTATTAAGCACTTTAATATATAAAACGTTATATTAACTGTACACAAAAAATACATATATTTCAGAATACTATTGTATACTTCTATCAAAATATTTTAATAAAATATTATCAAATCATCCAACAATTTTAACAGTTAATCGGTTAGTTATTTAATTATTAAAGTAAAGTTTAAATAATTATACTTATATGAAAAAAGCTAATTTAATAATTTAACTGTAAATCATAATATATACCTTATGTTGTTATTAAAATTAAATTTTATTTGATAGATTTAAAGAGTTTATTGGAAAAACTAACAGATACACTTTAAAGGATATTATTATACTTGCTATTATGCTGTTTATTTTAATATTAAGAGTTTATTTGCTTATTTTAAAACTTAAATGTAAGAAAATTGTTTAGGGTACAATGTAGGCTTTTGTTGATATTTATATTTCATATTTTTAATGTTATGAACTAATTCAGTCTTGAATGAAAATATCTATAAAAGTCCATAATATGATACACTAGTTAATATTTTTACCTTTATGTTTTATCGCAGGTTAATTGACTAATATTAAGCCAACAGCATGATTTTTTTTAATGTAAGTGCTATATTTTACGTTAAGACATATCACACATGCGGATACGACGTCCTCTTAAATCCAAATTCACAATTTACCATTCTGAAGAATGTACAATTTTGTGATTGATATTTCTGCTTCAAGAAAAACAGTGTTCGACGTCAGATAGACATCTGAAACCTATTGAATAACTATGAATTGTTGATTTTTTTAAAAATATCTCAATTTTATCTCGAGGTTTTATTGTTTCGTTTGAATCTTATTACGTACTATTATGCTAATCCATCCTAAACGATCAAATTGGTGCCTATAGACTCGAATAATACTTTACTACCTAGTACCTACCATACAACAACTAATAACTATCATGGACCATGGTGTTTCAAGTATTGGACATTGGAGATCGATTATAACTTTTTTAAGTCATAACAAAATAAAATACCATCTGCGATGTCTTGACCAAAGACATATTAAAGCCACGGGTTAATATTAAGCCGTGCTTAGTACCATTGATTAAACATTTAAGTGTTTATAATAATTATTGCTATAGTATCGATTCTAAAGTATATTATTGTTTATTAAGTACGAGTACAACTCCGTGAGGGTGAAGGTGAACTATCACTTGGCGCTTATATATTATATATATATGATGTATAGCTTGACGTTTAGGAAAGCGGCTAGGCCTAGGACGACGGTAGCGGGTTGCGTCACGCAATCATCGATTTAAATAGAGCTCGGTTCAAGGTCGTTCTTATCCTGATAAGTATAAAAGGTATTACAGTCGAGTCCACTCTCCACAGACGTCATTGCATTACTTTTAAGATAATTTATATATTATATCTTTATAAGTATAAAAAAACAGTACTATGAATCATCTACAACTATTAAAATTTCCCATTATCTCTGTAAACCACGTCCGTGTGGTAAATAACGTAAATACGTATTACGTATTACGTAATTAAAAAAGTTGAAAATATTTATCTACTTCATCGTTTCCCTAATCAATGTCATTAAATTCGGCGAATTAATCAATTAATTAATAATTAATGACATTTCTGAATTTGATAATAGTGGAATAATAGTTTTTGTCAGAGTATTGTAAATGTTTATTAGTATCAACGATAGATTTTAAATTCTTCGCAGCTCGGTTGAACCCATGGCCGTGACTTAAGTCATGGTTGAACCTTAGACCATAGTTTATTGTCATTAAATATTATATAATATAAACACTATAAACACCACAGTCGCGCCGTCGCCAGTCCGTCCAATGTGTACAAAGTAGATAAGAAAAATCATTGAGCAACCTTATCAAAAACGATTATTGATTTATTATGATAGTGATGATATGATAAATTCGGATGAGTAACGAGTATCCAGAAAATCGTTGGAATTATGAATAATACAAGAATTAATTATCATCGCGTTCGTATAAAACAACATAAATAATAATATGTTTTTTTATTTATCAGCGTTAATAATTATTGATAATATTATATTCTAAATTGTTTATCATTCGTGTTCGGAACTAGAAAGAATGTAATCAAAATAGCGATCAGTTTATAACGTTTCCGTAGGCTTTTCTCTCCCGCATGGCGCACAGAATATGATACTTTGAGTTATGACTTCGTGACCGACCGTCTGGCCGTCCGAACGAGTCGCGGTTCGTGAACGACAACTCGCGAAGGTTACTACAAGTTACATTCGTAGAAGATGAACAATTTCAAAAATAATTTTAATAATTGACAACAAGTTATATATTATGCATTTATTTGTTTAAAAATAAAGAATCCATTATTATCTGTTTATGGTTAGAACAACAGTACAAACTACAAAAAATACAAAACCGAAAACACACGACACACGTTTACGTTTCCACTTTCCAGTAATCGTACATTGGTACATTATCATAAAAAATGTAGTATAATATTAATAATAATACCGGACTGCGTGTACACGGTGTACCTGTGAGTTATTATTGTATTGATATTGGAGTGGCGCGCGTGTTGTTTTTGTTTTCGTTCGGTCCGCAGCGTCGGTTGGCCCGCGGTTCTGTTGGCCGCACTGCGCGTCCGCCGCGATCGTTCCTCCACTTCACTGGCGACCGAGTTGGTGAACGGAACGCGTTATGAGCGTTTACTACTATTAGTACTATTATTATTATTCATTCCTCCTCCCGTGCGTACGTTCTATATATATAATATATTATTTATTTTTATTTTTTTTTTTTTGTTTTCAAAATGGCCGTGTGTCCACTATTTGTTGTTTAGAGCGCGCGTCCGCGAAATGTTGTCACGTTCCACCGTTGATAAAACCGATTGCGATACGTTTGACCAGTGCGCGCTCCGTACATTTCACTCGATTCTCATTACACGCGCTTACCCGTCCCGTTCCGACGGACACTTGGTCGAATTCGGCGGGTCCCGGTGAATTCCGGAAAGTCTGTCCGTGTATCGCGCGTCGATTACGTTATTTTTCTGAAAATAGTCGTTGTACCGTCAACTCGCTTCGTTCGTGGTGTGTCCTGCGTCTAAACACCACACCGCCTGTCTGGATTGTTGACGGCATCCGACCGCTACAATTGGCGGTTGTCTGAAAGGATCGAAAATCATTTATATTCAGTTTTTCTTGAGATGACCGTTGTGGACTCATGTTCGACGCAATGACTGATACCAAGCGGCGAGTGAAGTTGTACGCCCTGAATGCTGATCGTCAGTGGGACGATCGTGGCACAGGGCATGTGTCGTGCACATACGTTGAACGACTCAAAGGCGTTTCTCTTTTGGTTCGAGCTGAAGCCGATGGTTAGTATCTTTTATTCGAGTATTCTGCTATATTCTGTTGACAATTTCCTGTTTACCTACTTAATGGTTTTGTGTTGTTGTTATTTGTTATTTCTTGGTAACTACTTTCATCTTATCTGGATTATGATCAATGATTTTATTTGTATTATTTATACAATAACAATATAGTATTTCTCTCTATGACTACTTGTATAGGACAATCTTAGCTATTTTTTAATCATTTTAGTGTACTTTAGAATTTTTCTCACATTGTATGATAGTTAGCTAGCATTCAAAAGGTATTTTTTTTTACAAATTTAACAGGTAATTTAAAGTATAAACCATACAGTATATATAATAACTCATAGTAAACAATGAAACCAAATATGACTGTTAACAAAATCATTAATTTTAATTTATATTTAGGTAATAATTACTTATTATTTTTTATATAACTGCTCAATTAATATATTCATATTCATAT